GGCTCTCAGGAAAGAGAGGAAGAAGGTGTATGCTCTCAAGAAAGAGAGGAAACACAACCACAACAAGAAAGTGAGGTATTACCTGATGCAAATCCTCGAAGAAATATGGAAGATCGACAGGGACTGTTCTTAGTCAGGCAACTCAAACCAGAGCACAGACAGATCCTCCATGATATTACACTCGCAGGCCAATCAGTCCTCACAGGAGATGATCTTGAAGGAGGTCAACCCCTTGAACGTGGTGACATAAGCTTCTTCTCATTATGGTTGATGATGTCAGCATTATCAGATGCTTCCTTTTCAACATTTATGGAGCAGTATGCACCTATGATGGGTTATGAGATCTCTTACGACAAGTACTATGAGTTCAAACTGGATATTGACCAAGTTCTCAAGGACAATGAACACCTTGGCGCAGAAAATTTCTTTGGAGCAGAGGATCCTCATATGGTGGACGATGATCCAGACACTCCACTTCCAGATCTTCAAAGACCAGGCGCAGGTGATCCTGAGTACAAGCATACCATTGAAAGTTTGAACATTGAGGACAAACATATCATTTTGGAAACTGATGATGACAAATTGGTTGAGTGTACATTGAAATGGATCAGTATGTGCAATCAGAATGTTCAACGAAAGATCAAGGAAAGTTTTGTCAAACCAGAAGAAGGACAAGAGAAAGAAAAGGATGAAGAAGAGAAGATTGCTGACGAAGAAAAAGAAGAAGAAAAAGACACACAGGAGCCACATGTCCCAGCTGAAGGCTCTTCAGAGAAAGAGGAATCAGCTCCACCTGAACGCTCCTCAGAAAAGGAGGAATCAGGGGAGAAGAAGACAGACATTCAAGATGATGAGACAGCTCCTGAAGTGAAACCTGCAGTTCGACTTTACTATGGTCAAGATATCACTGGAAACGAAGATGATTCAGTTTTTCGAAGATTGAAGGATTGTTTTTCAGATGGTTACCATGGTGAATGGGCAGGATTTTACAACAAAGGTTATCCAGCGTCTTCGAAGCATCGACATATGTTTTGGCATGTTAAGTACAGGAAGACCATGTCTCCACATCATGATTTTTGGTACCATCTTACAGATGACCAGTTGATGGTTGAGTACATTGCCAGACACAAGAATCAGGATCCACAACTAGAATTACAAGAACTTAATCAGCGCATTGAATATGGTTGTAGTGATCCAAGGATGCATCCTCTTCATCAAGACAAGGCAGAAAGATCCTCAAAAGAAGCAGAACAGAGGATTGATGACGATTTTGGAAATCTCACAAAAGGTACTCCAAGATTACGTTGAGGAACACAAGGTCTTGCCTTACTGTATGATCTTGCATAGCTTGGCTTACAGGTACTTAGGTGGAGGCCTATCAGACCCAACGTACAAGGATGCTGAATTTCCATACAGATCCTCTCCACAGATAACAGCAATGTTTTGGAATTTGGGAAACTGGTGCAGAAACAGATTTGAAAAATGCCCGGTTCCAGAAAGATTTCAACAATTCATTCCACACATTGACTACACTATCGATGAGGATCATGAAAAATTTGAAACCAAATCACAGTTCAACAATTACTTCATCAATGTCATCAAGAACTTTGGAGGACATCTTTTCATGAATTGCGAGGCTGGTTCGTTGTATCCTCACAGAGAAAGACTCAACGAGGTTGACTTCAAAACTTGCTTCAATGACTATCATGACTTGATGGTGGCAGCTCGCCTTGGAAAGGATGGCTATATCAAGCAAATTGCTGGATATCACACAGATGACAACGACACACGAGTTCGACAAGTCTCATGGGCAATCTTTGAAGTATCTTGGGGAAAGACAAAGGATCGAGATGTGCTGTTTTCATGTGGGCTTGCACACATGAACACCACTCTCTCTAACTTCACCTTGCATACCTTGTTGGTTTGTCGGGATTTACCCTGTTGTTGCTTCATGAGTTGGCTGAACATGCTTTGCAGCTAGTGGCAAGCCTGGTTGGGCTAGTAGTTGTTCATCTCTCCTTTCCCTGAGAGGTAGTGCTTTCCAACCCGCTTGCCTGTTTGTTGTTTTCTCTTTTATGTTTGCTGCTTGCGCCCTAGATCGCGCAAAAAAGCGTGCGGGCCTTGGCCCATATTATGCCAAGCCCGGCACCGCTTCACCGTATTATTGGGGGTCAGCCGTGTTGTTGGAACCGCCGCCTGTTGGTTGGCCATTGCCGGCATTTAGCAGCAAGCCAGATTCCTGGGCCTTTTGGCCTAAGCTGGCTCCTCTGCAGCAGTCTCTTGGCAGTGCATCTGCGCCTGCTGGGTTTAAGGCGAAGGTTCATCCAGTACCTGCATGTTCAATTTTGTCTGGCACAGGCTCAGAGCAACATGCTGACGAAGTTGAACTGTCAAGTTGGACAAGCTTGTGGGCAACATTGCTGAACCCTTTGCTTCCACTAGCTCCAGCCTTTACGAATCTGGGTGAATTCGCGGCTAGTACTTTGGAGCGGTTGTTGCGGACAAAAGCACACGCTACACTACGCCGTCACTTGCCAAACTGGCGTCTTTGGGTTGATTTTGCGCAACTTCATGAATGGCCTGTGTTTGAGCCTCCAGAAGGTGACATGGTGGCCTTTTTGCAGGGACTCGTGACCAACGGCAAATCTAAAGGTGGGGCCAAGAACACCTTGTGCGCCTTGAAGTTTGTTGCTACATTGATGGGTTGGCAAAACTGGGTTGACATGCTTTCCAAACCTGTTGTGACGGTTTGGTGTGATTCATCAATGTCCCGTCAAGCACGGAAAGAAGCTTTGCCTTTGCCTTTATCGGTAATTGCAGCCTTTGAAGCGCGCATTCACGAAGACCTGGCCGTTGGTGCAACTCAGGAAACTATGGCCCTAGTAGCCTTTTTAGTGATGTTTTGGGGGGCGCTTCGTTTTTCTGATCTTCAGCAAGTTGAACGTGATTCTTTGCAAATAGAAAATAGCATTGCTCGTGGCCGCTGTTATCGCTGCAAATCGGCAAAGGATGGCATGCCGTTTGGCTTGCTGTGTTTTGGAATTTTCTCTACTTGGGATGCCGGGCTCCGGCGTTTGTGCGAAGCTATGAAGGAATGCGATTTTCTTTTGGCAGGTCCACGAGGAGCTCGCGCAAATTTCGCTTATGCACTTGGTATGTTTCGGCGTCTTCTAGTATCAGTGTCACTGCTCAAGCCAGCAGCTACACGCTGCACAGCTTGAAAACAACAGGTCTATCTTGGGGGTTGCAATTAGATGTAGATGTGCACCAGCGGCTATTGTGGGGCCACCATCGCTCGGTTGATTCTGGCAGCAAGATGGTAACCAAATATTCGCGTGATGATGTTCTTCCCGCTCTTCGTGCGCAGTTGCGTGTGTTGCAAGCTATTCGTGGTGGTTGGGTTCCTCTGGCGCCACAGAGCCGCGGTGCGCAGCATCCTGTGGCAGAAACAGCTTTAACCGCACCTCTAGTGCCATTGGAAGGCAGATTCTGGTCAGGTTTGATACCTGCCAGGTCAAGCGACTGGGACCCTGCATCGGATGCAGAAACTGAGGTGTCTGATGATGAGGACTCGTCATCTTCATCCTCTTCAGAATCTGAAGCACATGTAGATTCAGACCTAGAAAAAGACAAGGAAGTTGAGCACGACCTTAGGAACTCTACAGTAGTGCCAGGTGTGTTTATCGTGAACACGTCCAGCGCTTTCTATCATGCAGCAGTGGAGCTTGGATCAAAGCAGTTTGGGAGAGCTTGCGCGCCATGCCGTGCAATTAAGCAACCTCAATGGGAAGTTTGGCATTCAGACCCATCGGCCAGTGGAGAAGTATTTTTTCCATGCGCGCATGGTGCTTGCTCTTCTTGCTTGTGAAAGAGTGTGGGTCACGTGGCCAAGCCCGCGATGGTGTTTTCACTATGGTTGCTTTTGTTCATGATGGATAGTGAGCTGCTGTTTGTTAGTCCAGTTAAAGGGTTGGAGTTGCATGTATTCCTTGTCCCTAATTGTTGGTAGGTCAGGTAGAGCGGAATGTGTCCCTGCTTGGCTGGTGCCGTTCTGGCTGTGTTGTTGGGGTCAGGTGTGTTCCTGTTGTGGGTTGCCCCTTGGTTCTTTGTTGGTGGAGCTTCAAGTGCTCCTTGGGACTGTGTGTCCTTGTTTTGTTGGTGGGGCCGTGTATGTCCCTGTTGGTGGAGCTTCAGGTGCTCCTTGGGACGGTGTGTCCCTGTTTTGTTGGTGGGGCCGAGAGTGTCCCTGTTGATGGAGCCTCAGGTGCTCCTTGGGACTATGTGTCCCTGTTTTGTTGGTGGGGCCGAAAGTGTCCCTGTTGGTGGAGCCTCAGGTGCTCCTTGGGACTGTGTGTCCCTGTTTTGTCGGTGGGGCCGAGAGTGTCCCTGTTGGTGGAGCCTCAGGTGCTCCTTGGGATTGTGTGTCCCTGTTTTGTTGGTGGGGCCGAAGTGCCCTGTTGGTGGAGCCTCAGTGCTCCTTGGGACTTGTGTCCTTTTTTGTTGGTGGGGCTTGTATGCCCTCAGGTGCTCCTTGGGACTGTGTGTCCCTGTTTTAAAAGAGCAAGTAGCCTGTTGGAGAGGTGCTCCTTGGGATTGTGTGTCCCTGTTTTGTTGGTGGGGCCGTGTGTGCCCCTGTTGGTGGAGCCGCAGGTGCTCCTTGGGACTATGTGTCCCTGTTTTTTGTTGGTGGAGCTTCAAGTGCTCCTTGGGACTGTGTGTCCCTTGTTTTGTTGTGTATTGATAAAATTACAAGTATTTGTTGGAGACCGTGTGTCCCTTTGTGTTGTTGGTAGGGGGTCGAGGGTATCCCTGTTGTTGGAATTATGGTGCATGAAGTGGTTCGGTGTGGTTGCAATTTTTTCCAAACCTGAACTTTTCCGCATTTCATTCTGGTGTTGGGGTTGGACGGTCAGCAAACGCCTGAGCTGGAGAAACATTTGCTTTGTCGCCAGTTCGATCTATCATTTGTTGCAGATTGCTTTCATTTTCTCTGTGCTGCAATGGATTCGGCTGCTTCATTTGCAGCTTTATGCGCCAAAGTCAAGCTAGCAGAGAAAGTCTGTGCTGCGTTGGAGCCTTTGGGTTTCAAGAGCCCTGCTGAGTTCTATTGGGCACTCAAAGATGGGGCGGATGATACCATTGAAGCAATTCTCGATGCCGCTGGAATTGATCTTTCATCGGCCCCCTCGAAACTTCAGTGTGTAGAAGCTGGACGATTGCGTCGTCTGTTGTCAGAATGCAAGCTTATGTGCGAAGCCCCGCAGCCTGGCCCACCAACGCCAGCTGAAAAGATGGCCCCTTCACTTCTTGGCATGGATGTAGGGCCTCGGTTGTCCGGTGATGTGTTACAACAGCTTTGGTCTGAATTTGCAAAGAAATACCCGGCAGAGGTAGTAGAGGGCGATGCTCGCCCCGGGAAAGCATTGGTGCAAATGGTTTATGCGCAAAAATGTCAACAAGAGTTGAAATACATTCCTTGGAAAAGGATCTTGAGTGAAGCCCAAGCAGACCGAGTCAAGCAAGGTTCTACCAAGCGAGATCGTTCCTTTTTAGACCTGCTGGCGGATGCGGCAGGGCACGCTGACCCACCCGAGCAAGAGCCATCTCCTTCGCCGTTTGGGGTTCAACGCCTGTTGATGTTGCGTGCGGTGGCATGGGCCTTGATAGGATGGTGTCATTTAGGAGGAGCTCGTCGCCTAGTTCACGCTTTCATGGAACTGTATGGTGCTCATGGCTTGCATGCAGTGGGCCTGCGGGGTCCCTCCTTGGTTGAAGCTGAAGCGGCAGATGGGGAGATCTGTCGCCAATTGAATGCGCTGCTGGGCGCTGGCTTCAGCTTAGATCAAGCCCTACATGAACTAGTTGCCGTGCGAAATTGTCTTCACATTTGGTTGCAGCCGAAGCCAAAACTGCTGCCGCAATCCGATTTGTACAATAAGAAAGGGAAGCGGCCGTTGCCACAACCTGCTGGGAAATCTGCGAAGATCAAAAACGCGCATACTCCAGGGCTGGAGGCGCCCCGTGCAAAAAAGGTATGCTTTGCATTCAAGAAGTCTGGCAAATGCAGCTTTGGTGAAAATTGCCGATTTGAGCACGCTGAATGACTATCAAAGGAGCCCCAAGTGGCAGAGTTTGATGCTTCCGCAGCCATTTGGTCGTCAGGTGACAATCCATCTGTGTGTCATCGGCAGCCGCCTGCAGAAGCAGAGGTGATGACAAGGTCGGAGTTAGATTACTGTGGGGTGCCCGTCCCAGACGGAGGGGGAATCTGCTCTACGGCTGATTGGTTCCAGCCGCGGGTCAAGGACGATTTATTTCGTGATCTTCGCCGCAGGTTTGAATCTTTAGCTATGGAATGGCGTCTAGTTCCCTGCCTGATGGCGCACGTCTCTAACCCCACGGATGCTGAGCTGCTTTCTGCTGAAGAAGTGTTACACTTGCGTGAAGAGATTGTTGGTTTTTTGCGTAACCATGGTTTTTCTTGCAACGGTGATGTCGAACCCAATCAGCCTTTTCTGCTTTCCGTTTGGCAAGCTTTGGCCAAGATGACTGTTGATGTTGATCCACATCTTCCCAACATTCTTTCAGAAGGGGTTCCTACAGGCATCGAATCCCCGATTTCACCTTCTGGTGTCTGGGATGCAGTAGATTTTGATGGAATGGCACCTGAGCCTGAGCTGGTTCCTTGTGATCTTTTGGTTCACCTTGAGCCTTGGCGCTCGGCAGCTGAAGATTTACCCCTGGCAAAACAGTTGCTTCAAAAGGATATTGACGCTGGTTGTCTCATGCATTTACGTGGAGGTGAAGCGGAAGCGAAGGAACGCTGGGGGGACAAGATTGCTGCAGGTAAATTGGGCTTGGTGAAAATCCCGGGCAAGAAACCACGGTTGATTGGCGATGCCACGGTTTCTGGTGCAAATTCGCGCTGCGTGATTCTGGAAAAGATTCGCTTGTCCACTTTGAGCTGCGTGCAAAGAGTTGCTAGCGCAACGCCGCTTGACAAACTTTTTTCTGCCTTTTCCTTTGATATTCGTGGAGCCCACAAGCTAATTCGTGTACGACCTGCAGAACAAGGGTATAGCACTTTTGTTTTAGATGGAGAATGGTATACCTACCGAACCTGTTTTTTTGGCTGCCGCTGGGCGGCTTACTGGTTCTCGCGTGCTTCTTCATTTCTTGTGCGACTCTTGCATCGCTGGGTTTGGATACCACACGCATTGTGGGTATATGTTGATGATGGCCTCCTCTTGCTTCCCGCTGATGTGGCGCCGCTGGTTGCAACTACTTCATTGATGTTCTTGCTGTCGATCGGTATGCCGATCAGTTGGGAAAAATTGCAACTGGGCAGTGCTATTTCCTGGATTGGGTGGGATTTCCATTTTTCCAATGCTACAGTTTGTTTGCCTAACGCGAAGAAGCAGAAGTTGCAGCAGTTGCTTTCTTGTCTCCTGGTAGAGAACCGGCGGGTTGAACGTAAGCTGGTGGAGCAAGCTATCGGCCTTTTGCTCTGGTATTGCGGGGGTGCTTCATGGCTGAAGCCGTGGCTGCGATGCTTATATAACTTATTGTTCAAACCCTTGTGTGTATTTCGTGCCTTGTTGCCCGCGCAATTTGAATGCATGCGTGGCTCACTGGACCCCAATCTACGTTTGAAGCATAGCTTTTCGCAGTGGGACTTACAGCAGGGTTGGAAGTTACATTCAGTAAGTAACTGTGCTGTGCGTGCGCTAAGCGATGTCCCGCTTCAGACTCCGCGTTTGAAACGTGGTGCAATTGATTGCGTTTTCTATGACTATAGCAGTGCCAAGGTGCGAACCAACAAGATCTCGATCGATGCGGCCACTTTGTTTTTCAATGCTGTTTCCGTGCAAAACCGCTTCCCCTGCGTTGCACTCAGGTGGAACATGGCTTCGGCGCTGCTGATGCATTTGCTGATTCTTCATCTTGCGGTGTAGGAGGATGGTGGTGCCCCTCTCACGTGGCTCCATCCCCACAAACTGTTTTGTGGTTTAGTATTCAGTTTCGCGCCAAAGATCTTCCAGCATGGTTACAGTCCGAAAATTTGCAGTCATTCATTGCATCTTTTGAAGCTTTGGCACAGCTGCTGCTTTTGCTGGGGCGACTTCGGCATTTCACACATCCAGGAAATGCGACAGTGTGACAATAATGGCGTGGTGGCATTGACTCGCAAACAGTTGACCATGAAGGCACCCATGTGCTATGTGCTGCAAGCGATTGGGTTTTATTGCTGTCAGCATGGTGTATCTTTGTCATCGCAGCATGGTGCGGGTGTTCGCAATGAGTGGGCTGATGCCCTGAGTCGTGGCTGCTATGAAAATTTCAACGCAGCTAATAGAATGGAGTTTGATGTGTGTTCCATTCTTGAAAAGCCTTGGAATGGCGCCGGGCACACTGCGTGTGGGAAGTTGTGAGACTTTAGTGCCCTGCTTGATCAACACCGTTTTTGGGGCTGGTGTGGTGGAGCTGCTGCTGCCCAGCAGCTGCTCCACCTGTGTGTGATCAAGCCAATCCATGAAAAAGGATTAGTGCTCTGGTGGTTGGGCAGGAGTCAGGTTTATTCACCTATTAGTATGTTCCTGGTTTGTGATGCATGCTAGTGAAGTTTGTAGAGGTGCTGTTTTCATGTGGGCTTGCACACATGAACACCACTCTCTCTAACTTCACCTTGCATACCTTGTTGGTTTGTCGGGATTTACCCTGTTGTTGCTTCATGAGTTGGCTGAACATGCTTTGCAGCTAGTGGCAAGCCTGGTTGGGCTAGTAGTTGTTCATCTCTCCTTTCCCTGAGAGGTAGTGCTTTCCAACCCGCTTGCCTGTTTGTTGTTTTCTCTTTTCCACCCCACCCCTCCCTGCATTGGCTCACGGGTTGTTACCCTCCACATTGCCACCTGTTTGGGGCAAGTTTGGATTAGGCCCCCTGGCCTTGATTTTGTGACAGGCAATTTTTTGTCAGGTGTTTATGAAGTTGCTTGCTGATGGTGCAAGCTGTAACATGGGCACTGAAAGATTTTTTGCCTATGTTTGGGATTGAGCCCAAGTGCTCATGGCCCTGCGGGGCTGGTGTGGTGGAGCTGCTGCTGCCCAGCAGCTGCTCCACCTGTGTGTGATCAAGCCAATCCATGAAAAAGGATTAGTGCTCTGGTGGTTGGGCAGGAGTCAGGTTTATTCACCTATTAGTATGTTCCTGGTTTGTGATGCATGCTAGTGAAGTTTGTAGAGACAGATGAGATTGTTGACTTGACAAGAGCTAGGATGAGAATGACACGTGTGTGCGTTTATCACGTCGGACAGAAGTATGCATCAGACTCTGCTGGGATTGTTGGTGAGAGCTTAGCTGTTATGGCTTTTGAGTGTGCCAGATATCAAGTTGACTTCATCGCAGGTGATGGAAACAAGGCATGCTATTACAGCACACCAAAATCTCCAGGTGTCCCTACATATCAACACAGCCTTATCCAATTCTGGATTAACAGAATGGTAGGTGTTGCAACACAAGCCATGCGCAAGAATTTTGATCCAACTTGCCCTCCAATCAAGGTCAAGCATTTCATTTCTTGCAGTTATCGTGACTTGGATTTTCTTGCAACGCACTTGGATGGCATTACAACAGCAACATACACCGACGAGCTCATGAACAAGACAAATGGTAAAGGTGATTGTTGTATGTTAACAGGTGTTGAGTGGGGTCATTCACGTTTGATGTGTGAGGAACACCCAGAAGACTTTGAGGATGAAGATCACATGAACTATGTGGGTGAATTTTACTTCAAGGTAAATGAAACTTGCTTACATGGTGATCACAACATCTTCATGGTTGCTCCAAATGATCGCGATGCTCATAATCCAATTCTTATCCATCTTGATCCTTCTGATATGTCATGGAATGAACGACATCATTACAAACAGGCCTACAAGAAGAAGCAGCATGCTGATTCAAGAAAGGAAAGACAGAAGGAGAAAAAGAGAAAGGCATATGAAGATCAAGCATCGACGTATCAGGGCAACACAGAGTGGGGTGGATCCTCATCTTCAGCGTCCAGACCATGGAGATCAAGTGAGTGGCGATGAGTGAGTGTACACTTCTTTAATTGAAGATAACACAGCATGAGAAGCCGTGTACAGTTTTTCTGTGCGTTCAACTTATTTCACATAGATGGCATATACTCTTTTAGATAGAGATAATGCCACAAGTGTCTGAACTTCAATTTAATGTATAATAGAGACTCTTGTAAATAGAGATACTATATACATTTATCTCCATGAATCATCCGGCGAGCAGACCACTCCGAATGGAGCGAACTTCAAAAATTTACTAACTTCGATTTCAGTCCATTGTTTGCTTGAATGAGCAACTTTGGAGATCCGCTATTTCCGTTTATTTCGTGATTTGGTCAATTGTTTTCGTATGACCTGAATTTCTGAATCTTGCGAACC